GTCTTTATTTTAATGGATATTATAGAATGGCTATATATACCTGGCTTGAATTATGCTAATTTGCTTTTGAGAGCATGAGCCAAACTGTATTTTTTTCATCATTCAAAAGATAAATATTGAAGACAGATTCCCCCTCTTCCCCCAGCCATTTAGTTACCACTTTTGCAGGGGTGAAATTCAGTTTCTGACATGAATTTTGAGTAGTTTGGAGAACCGGCAAATATCACCTCTGGTTGGCCCCAGAGTGGGGAGGGAATGAAGATTTTGCAGTATCTTTCCCTTGCCACACCCACTAAGCCATGCCCACAAACCAGCATTAAAACAATTTGAATTTCATCACTGCTCCTTTGATTCTTTTCTGAAGGGAAGTTGGAAAGTCAAACAAGCTTCAAGATGATATTAAGACAAAAAAAAGAAATCAAAAGGAGGAGGAGGAGGAGGAAGAGGAGACCTATTTGCATAGGAACAATGCCCCCCCAAAAAGAGAAGAGCAACGAAGATGATTAGGGGAATGAAAGCCAAAACATATGAAGAATGGTTGCAGGAATTAATGCAACTAGTTTAGTTTAATGAAAAGAATGATTAGGGGTAACATCATAGCAGTATTCTAATATCCAAGGGAGTGTCACAAAGAAGAGGGAGTCCAGCTATTCTCCAAAGCACCTGAATGCAAGACAAGAAGAGACGGATAGAAACTAACCAAAGACAAAACCAATCTAGAGATAGGGAGAAATTTATTTAGAACAATTAACCAATGGAGTAATGTGCCTCCAGAACCTGGAGATTTTAAAGAAGAGATTGGATAACCATTTGTCTGAAATGTTATTGGGTCTCCTGCTTGAGCAGAGGTTTGGACTAGAAGACATCCAAGTCCCTTCCAACCAAAGAGTATATTTAAAGGGAGAGGTAGAACTTAAAATAACTTTATTGTCCCTTTGAATGTACACTAATCAGCATACATTAAAATGAAATTTCATTACATACAGTTCTCAAAGAGTCACCAGCTCCAATATACACTACATAAAAATGATGAAATAAATAAATACAAAATTATGCATATACTCACATATATTATATGGCATAGAGAAACAACATTTTCTAGTTTGGATGTGTACATATACATGGCGATAAAAATGAATATTTTTTTATTTTACCAGATGGATGGCATAGGGAACAAAGCAAAGATAGGTTCCTACCAGTTTGGACTAGTTCGGCCAAGTAGGTAATAACTCAGCCTGCCACGCCCCTAAACTGGTTCTTCATCTCACTTTTTGCTTCTGCGTGTGTGCAGAAGCAATTTTTTTAGTACTGCACATGCGCACATCGTGCGTATGCGCATGAGGCATGCATGCACAGCATGTCCCTGAGTGAACCAGCAGTAGCAGTAGCCAAACCCCATCCCTGGAATGAAGCAGTTACAAAATCTGATAGTTCTGCTAGAAATTCTTTGATACCTCCTCCCAGAGGGGAGCAACAGAAACAGACCATAACATGGGTGTGTGGGGTCTCTAACAATGCTTTGAGCGCTAAGCACATAGAGCTTATAGGCAGTATTCTCAATAACAAGAAGCGAAATTCCTATAATCTTCTCAGCTGCCCTTACCACTCTCTATATGGACTTTCTATTTGAGGCACTGCTGCCACCAAACCAAACAGTGCTGCAGTTTGTTAAAATGCTCTCAATTGTGCCTCTGTAAAAAGTTTTATCGACATTTAGAACCAGTTTATTGCACCAGTCCACCAGAACCTTCACCTCTTCCACATAAGCATCTTCACTGTTGTTCTGGATAAAACCTACTGCTGCCGTGTCATCTGCATACTTCACAATAGGATTTCTGGCAGATTTGGCACAGCAGTTGTGTTTCATCTAAGTTAACAGTAGCACACTCAAGAAACAGCCCTATGGAGAAGCCATACTAAAGGAGAAGCAGTTGGAAACTTTTCTTCCAATTCGCACAAACTGGGGCCTATCAATAAGGAAATAAAATGTCCAATTAAATGAAGGAGAATTAACACCTAGTAGGCCCATTTGTTTACGAAATGCTGAGGAATTCTTTGTATTTCTGTAATAGACTGTGTTCAACAATTATCTGAGTTTTATTTCATATGTTCCATAAGATTCCACATATTAATAGATTTTATTTCTCGGTAGAGGCCAAAGTGCTCCCAAAATGGATTTTGGAGTACAAGACACCTTTAACTTCATTTTTATTTTTGTTATAAGTCTTCTGAGAATTAGTATTAAACTATTTATGTTTTAACATTTGGGAGTCATGAATACTTCCTATTCTTGTACAAATTGAGGAAGAGGTTCTGAAGCACTCTTTACAATTCAAATTCTTCTCTTACTCTCAGTCACTACAAACATTTGTTTCTCTTGACACCATGATACTACACAACACTAAAGACAATGTTTAATAAGCTGGCAAAAACATGTTTTCTTGTTCACGTATTCCTAGGTCTTTGTTGGTGTTTCTACTGCAATTATCCATCCCTATATAATTATTTCAACTTCATTTCTGCATCCTGGGACATAATTTAGCTATTAGCTCAAGTAGAATACTTCATGGAAAAGTATTCTGAGACAGTCGAATTTGGGTTACAGAAGAAATGCTATTGATGAAGATGGTGATATTTGTAGTATTGGTTATTCTGCCTTTCTCACAAATGATGTGCAGGATTCACAAGGTTAAATGCATCACCAGTGACCCTCTGCCATTTCTTCACAAGCAATATCAGTCAGGAGACCTCATTGTTGGGAATTTGCTCTCTCAGATCTACATCTTCCAGACAATGATGGACTTCAGCAAACGTCCTTCTGAGGAGATCTTTGAGGACACTGTGTAAGAATTTATAAACAGAAAGCAAGTTATTTTGAACCAGGAAGTCTTTTCATATTAATATTAGTCTTGGTTATAATGATTAATATCACCTTAACATTTGCTGGAAGGCACTAACTTCAGCCACCTATTGTTCCTCCTTTTCCTTCAGCATCATCTCTCTCTGTTCCTCTTCATACGCCTCATCTATAATCATGATGTGATGGTTATATGTTGCGAGAAAAAAATGTTTTGTTTCAGGTTTTTTTTTCAATTAGGGATACACACACATACACCTACTTTTTTTGGTATGCTTGTCTTGGGTATACATACATACATACATACATACATACATACATACATACATACATACATACACACACACACACACACACACAAAATAAATAGATGGACTGATAGACGGATAGACGGATAGACAGATGGATGGATGGATGGATGGATGGATGGATGGATGGATGGATGGACGGATGGACGGATGAACAGACATACAGACAGATAGATACTTATAGAGATAGATAGATTGATATANTTTATTAAATAAAGATTATTTTTCATATATTAAATGACACATTAAATATCCGTCAGCAACTTCTAGAGGAGACAAAAAACCATAACAGGGGCTTTAGGAGGCAATGTATATCCCTGCACCTCAGCTTGTACATCTCTGCTTTACATAAGCTGGAAGCCAAGAAGGTTTCAAAGTGCCTCTGCAGTAGACTTCTGTATATTCCCATCAGTTTTTAATCAACACTGTAAAAAAAAAAAAAACAAGCAGGAAACTGGGCAGCAGGAGTCCAAGCATTCAAAATCCTCTTGTAGCATCAGCTTCTGTGGTGGGACTAAGTACAAGCACTAGGGGTGATATGATAGCAGTATTCCAATGTCTAAGGGGATGCCACAAAGAAGAGAGGGTCAACCTATTATTCAAAGCACCAGAAGGCAGGAGAAGAAGCAATGGGTGGAAACTAATCAAGGAGAGAACCAACTTAGAACTAAAGAGAAATTTCCTGACAATTAGAACAAGTAATCAGTGGAACAACTTGCTGTGGGTGCTGCAACAATGGAAGTTTTTAAAAAGAGATTGGGCAACCATTTGTGTGAAATATATAGGCTTTCTTGCTTGAACAGGGGGTTGGACTAGAAGACCTCCAAGGTCCCTTCCAATTCTGTTATTCTGTTATTCGGAAATATTTGGATTGAATTTTGTGGACATTGTCTCATACTCTGGGATATGGTCATCCCAGTTTAACCTTGGCTGTTGTCCCCATTCTAAATCACATCAGATCTTCAATATCTCTTTCTTTTGAGGTTGTCATTGATAAATGCAAGAAACTGCTGTCGTGAATCTGTCTAATCTCTAAGAAGCCATGCAATCCAGCAAAGAGAGAGATAAGAGGACCGATGCTCAAATCAACCTTGAGCCCTTTAGATGGATTTGAATTTGGCCTCCTTACCCAGCACATTAAAGCAGGAAGGTTGTCACGGGAACTAACATAATGCAAAAATGAGAAAGCACTCTTCAGAAGATACATTAAGAGGAGCCAACTTGAACAGATGTACTACAGAACACAGCAGGCAAAGGATTTTCCTGAAGCCCAGTTCCATCTTCTCCAAGCATCTTACTGCTTACTTTGAATGAGAAGGATGGACTGATTCTCAGGTTCGTGCATTTATTTTACAACCTTGCCCTCTCACAAGGGAAGATGGATCACCTCAAAAGCTTTCAAAACCTTTGCCGCTAGCACAATGCCTCCTCTGAGTGTGTGTGTACATGGGGATGGGGGGGGGAGGGTGGAACTTAGACAAACCGCCATAACGTAAACCAGGAAGGAATTTTTCAAAAGTCCCATTAACTGTTTAAACAATAAATATCAAGGCAAGCACATGGCTATCTTAGGAGATAAGTGCCCTGAAATAACTTGGAAGGAGAGCTTTGAAATCTGGGGAGAAGTTGACAAAACTGCTTGGAACAACGATTTGCCGTTTTAGAAACCAACAGACGTGCAAGGAAGGAGGAAAGGCTAGAACCACTGAAGCCACCAGTTCCTCATCCCGGTGCTTTACAAAGCAGATTCGCATCATCAACGGGAAAGGCGGGGGGAGTAGCCCAAACTACAACGTTGTTGTAAGACAATAAGAGACAGAATAAGCCATCCTTACCTTGGCTTCACATTTCTTGTGACAGGACAGCTTGCAACCTGTGTTGAAACAGAAACAAGGGTAGCGGGGGTTGAGGGAAGGGAGGGGAAGGAGGGAAGGAGGGAGGGAAGGAAGGTATGAAAGAAGAGGGAAATTAAAATCAAAAATCTTGCCTTACCAAACCAAAACATGCAAGAACTGGGAAGAAAAGGAGCCTCACCCAGGAAAAAAAAACGGAAGCCTGGGGAGTGGGAGAGAGAGCAACCAATGAGCAAACCCCCCACCACATACACACTTCCACTTTACTTTCAAGCCACCAACATCAAGAAGCACAACACAATCACCAACAATAACAAGTCCTTAAAACCGCTTTCAGCGGTTTTTGCTTTTGTTTTTTCAAGGACTCTCGCAAGGGGGGGGGGGGAGAAGATCTACATACCATGTATGCAGCAGGGAGGGAGGGAGGTAAGGGAGAAAGAAGGGGGGGAAATTACCCTCTCGGCACGCTGGCACCTAGCCAACGATAGCCCAGGTTGCACAGGTACAGCCACAGCAGCCAGCCCGCTCCGACAACTCCAATCTTGCAGATAATACTAAGCACATTGTTTGGGAGCTGCCTGCCAGCCCACTGCGCTGTCAGAGGCTGCCCTGGGGCTCTGCATTTTTCTCCTCTTTACACCCCCCACCTTTCGTGACTAAACTTTACACACACACACACACACACACAAACATACACACATATATACACATACACCAGTAGGCTGAGCCCTCCCTCTTTTGGGGAGTCAAGTTTCTAAGTCATTAACTCCAGAAAGAATGTTGAAAATGTACAGGCAATGCTCCCCTCCTTGGGAGGCAGCATCACTTTTCGATTGTATAGATTTGGAACCCGACCAGAAAAAGAGAGAGAGAGAGAAGGAGAAACAAAAAAAGAGGGGAATTGTTCTTTGCCTTCTCAAACTCTAGGTTAGAAAACAAAAAGAGATGACTTACTCAGCCCGATAGTCTCACCTAACTTTGCTTCACTGAAACTATTGTGTAAGCTGGGCAACCAGAAAAGAAATTATATTTTATTTTTACAAAAGTTATTTCCCTTAAAGAAAAAAAAAGGAGTGGTGATCTAATCTATATTCTCACAAAAACTCTTATACATAATGGCTGTCCCTATATAAGTAAAGAACTTTGAACAAGGAAATAGATCTGGGTCAAACAAGCTACAAAATAAATATTCAAGTTCTGGAGTTCCAATTTATCTCTTAAATCTTCCATAATCCAAACTGGGAGTTCTAGTAACACAGGAAATTCACAGGGGTTTTTTTCCTCACCTTCCCCAGCCCTCCTCAATGTTCACAGAAAGTTCTGGCCGTCAGAGTTCACCCACATTCCTCCTGAATGGGAATTGATCAATTGACTTAGTGACAGAATTACAATTCTCGATCAGAAACAGTAGAAAACTACAAGGGCTCAATTAACAGTAGTGGCTTCCACTTCAGCTAAATTGGGTACCCTCGTTTAATGGAGGAGGAGGGGAAATCATTATTTCATTACTTCAGAAAGTCCTACTTAAATGAACAAATCTTATTTGTGCTAACCTTCCCAGGCGATGGTCAGACTAAAACAGCAAAAATATTAGCCACATTAGCTGAGTGACAAGGAGTTATCCCTTTAACAACAATGCATAGCATGACAATGCATGGGCACGCACACACAGATACACACAGCTCATTGTTTGGATTTATGCACATCAAATATATATTTGATAAAAATCTGGCTTCGGGCAAAGTCAACAGAAGGCCTTGAAGCGAGTGAATTGCACGCAAAGTCCACCAGGAAGAATGCCCTCCCCCAAAATCAGGCAGATACATCTTCTACGGGTAGACTTTCTGCCTGGTTTTCAGAGCTCTCCTTACCTCACAGGCTGCCTCGCTTCATTCACACCTTAAAGGTGGATCCAGAAACCTTAGGAAAGGCTTTTCAGGAACACTTGGAAGCCAGAGGGATTCCACACATTCCTTTCTACCAGTGCAATGCTGGATGCTACCCAAGTTTGAAGGTACTGAGCCAAAAGTTCAAATAAACAAGTTAAACGTTAAAGAGCTAAATACATTTTGGCCAATCCCTGCTAAAGAGAAAACAAGTTTTGTATTGCAAGCTTCCCTGACATCCACATGCAATATCAACATTGTCAATTCCCACTACCACCCTTGTACTCAGGGAAGATCAGCAATGAGTGGAATACAGTAGGATTTTGTCTCATCAAACTTCCTTACGGATTCAGCCTGGTAACAAACTTTTCCCATTCATTTTAAGCCATGAAACGGGCATGATTATTGATCAGGCCACGGAAGTGGCAAGCGAGTGCATGCCTGCATCCCCACTTGTGCGAGAAGCAGGTGAGCCCACACAAACATACTTGCCCATCACTTGCACCAAATTGTCTGCCCTCCCCAGGCTGGTCTGCAAAGCTGGAAAAGTTGAGGAACTCTGCTTTAACCAAACATTGCTCGAAACCTGATGGCTGAAATTGATTGCATTTTGTAGAACCTTATCATAACTAATAAAGGTAGCCCTTGATTTACTACCACAATTGGGCTCAATATTTCTGTCGCTAAGCCAGGGGATTGTTAAGTGAGTTTTGCCCAATTTTGTGACTTTTTTCATTGCTGCAGTTGTTGAATGTGGTTGTTAAGCGAATCCAGCTTCCGTATTAACTTTGCTTGTTGGAGGCTGGCTGGGAAGATTGCAAGAGGTGGTCACATGACCTCAGGACACTGTAATGTTGTGAATAGATGGCAGTTGCTAAACATCAAATGTTGGTCATGCTACAATAGCTGTATATAAGGGGATGATGCAATAGTTGTAAGTAAATAAGAGGACAAATCATAAATCACTTTTTTCAGCGTTGTTATCATTTTGAACAGTCGCCAAATGAATGTTGTAAGTCAAGGACTCAATGTTGCCCTTGAAGCAATGTCAGCCGTTGAATTTATTCTTTTTCTTCACAGCACTAAGTAAAGACATTTGTGGCCATGTTGCGTTTTGATTCTATTTTATCTATCTCTATCCAACATCTGTAAAATAGGAGATCAGGGATGACACACTGACATCCCTGGAGGAGATGTTGCCAGATTTTATTTATTATCCTTTTTTGTAGGGGAAAGGGAGTTTATAAAATAGGGCATAGCACTGTGAAGTGGTATATGTCTAAATGCTATGAACTCTACCAAGATTTTCACAAACCTATTTTATTGCTTCCTTTAAAAATCTGTACTGCCAGAAACTGCTGCCTTGCCATCAATAGTCTAGGATGAATCTGAGAGACACAAATTGATAGATTGTTCTCTTCAATCGTGTAGATGCCACTGTATGTCAACCTCATGGAAAAATTAAAAAGATATTTTCATCTGAGTTTTATATGACAAACATCCTTCTAGTTTAAACATAAAAAAGATTTACAGAGGTCCACAATATACAGCTAAATATACATTGCTGGGATTTTAAGAAACCTCCAATAATTGTGGCAAGATTTGATTTTTTTTCCTTCGATGTCCTTTTTAGCAAACACTAAATTTCAGATATTTCCTATTTGATGCCAAATGTCATTATATTTGGTCTCACTAACAACTTTCTACTTTGGTCTCACTGACAACTTTCTACTTCTCTATGAATTAAATAACAATAGAATTTATTCCATACATAGTGACTAAATTAGTAGACCAGAGAAATACTGTGGACATAATATACTTAGACCTTAGCGAGGCTTTTGACAAAGTAGACAAAGCTAGAAAAAAAGTGGGATAGATAGCAGATGGATACGTAACTGGCTGACAAACCATACTCAATGAGTAGTCCTTAACAGGTCTATGTCTACATGGAGGGAAGTAAGCAGATGGGTACCACAAGGTTTCATCTTAGGCCCAGTACTCTTCAATATCTTCATAAATGACAGATGAGGGAATAGAAGGGGAACTTACCAAATTTGCAGATGATACTAAGCTGGCAAGAATAGCTAACACCCTAGAAGACAAGGTCAAGATCTAGATGGATCATGACAGGCTTGAACACTGGCCCCTATCTAACAAAATGAAATCCAATGTAGAGAAATTAAAGTCTTACACTTCAACAAGAATAACAAAAAGTACACATATAGACTGGGTGAAACCAGGGTTAATAGCAGTAACTGTGAGAGGGATCTTGGACAACCAATTAAATATGCCAGCAGTGTGCAGCGGCAGCCAAAAAAGCCAACACAATCCTAAATTGCATTAATAAAGGGATACAATCAAGATCAAGTGCAGTACTAATATCATTCTATAAAGCCTTAATAAGACCACACCTAGAATATTGCATCCAGTTTTGGTCACCACACTATAAAAAGATATTGAGATTATAGAAAAAGTGGAAAGAAGAGCAATCAGGATGATTAGGGGACTGGAGGCTAAAACATTTGAAGAACAGTTACAAAAACTGGGCATGGCTAGTCTGGTGAAGAGAAGGATGGGGGTTACATGATAGCAGCATTCCAATATTTGAGGGACTGTCTCAGAGAGGATAATCTATTTTCCAAAGCACCCAAAGGCCAGACATGGAACAATGGATGGAAATTGATCAAGGAGAGATTCAACCTAGAAATAAAGAGAACTTTTCTGACAGTAAGAACAATTGACCAATAGAACAGCTTGCCTTCAGAAGTTTTGAGAGATTCATCACTGGAGGCTTTCAAGAAGTGATTGGACTGCCATTTGTTGGACTAGATGACCTACAAAGCCCCTTCCAACTCTGTTAATTTAATCCAATTTCACTGGGATATGTTTGTATGTATGTATCAATCAATCAATCAATCAATCAATCAATTAATCTGGCAGTTCTTTAGGCATTGCTTCCAAGTGGTTCAACAGTATATGTGCCATATACAGTGAAATCCAACACCGCCACTTGTCTGGAGGTTTATAGTCTATAGTTCTAGATCACATTTTTAGGGGTATTTATTTATAACATGTATCTCGTTTGTCATTATTAGAACACACATGGTTCATTTGCCATAAAGATAATGAAAGTC